GGTACGATTTCCCTCGCCGTTTCGCCCCCCCCCCCCCTGATGAAGCTAGAGCGTCGCGGAAAAAACAAGCGTGAGCGCCGTTACAAGACGCAGGTACTGGTACCCGATTTTAAGGTCTCTTGAGGTCAGGTCAAGTGACCAAGGGCCAGGGTTCAGTTTTCATAACTTCGCAAAAAAACGGTCGGAGAGCCGCGATTTTGGCATCATCGTGTTCGCCTCGCTCAGGCGCGTCGAATGGTATACTTTTTGTTCGGGTGAGGTCAACTTGAGGTGTTGACCTCGGGTCAAGGGCAGGTCAGCTCCCCCAGATCACGAAGCTGGTTGACAGAGGTCATGTTACATATTACTCGAATCGGCAGGTCTTCCTGAGTTTATTGGTGGATTTCCCGACTCGCTAACTCAATTTGATGGGGAGTTATTGATGAAAAACTCTAATGACCCAAGTATATAACTGCAATGAAAACCGTAAGCCTCATGCTAATAATTATATTAAAAATAGGGCCAAGAAAATAAGACATGCTGGGCAAACTGACAAACTGACTTTTGTCAAACCGTCTTACGGTTTTCATTGCAGTTATATATGTAATCATGAGCCTCAAAACCGCGCTTTCTTTAACAATGACCCAAGTGACCATAAATGACGCCACGCAATGTCAACAATGCAAAAGTGAAGCATCGGACCTTGCAAGGCGTGAAAGAAATCACGATTCCATGTGCTGGAGACAGTTTGAGATAGTTCTCGGCGCTAACATAGCAGTTTTCATTTTTCCCATTGACTTATACCTAATGGTGAGGTCACGTGGCCGACCTGACCTCATGTGATTTTTAGGGAAAATCCGAGATATATGTACAAGTTGTGAGACCTCTGGATGATACTACATCCTGTAAGTTTCATCTCCCTGTGAAAGTACTTCTGAACAGCCCGGAAGCAGGCGTCACGCTCTTGACAAATCCTGAGGTAGCTGTCAGTAAGGAAGCTTGAGCCCTTGAATTTGGTAAAATGGCTTACGTTGGCAGCTTGCAAGTTACGTATTCCGTCGCGATCGCCCATCATACAACATATATTGACCAGCTTCGAACTATCACCGAGTTCAATGTTGTTCACTATGTCCCAATGTGGTCCGAAATTACGGAGTAAACATTGCAGAGACGGATTACTCCAAAGCATCCAGCTATTGCGAGACCTCTCAGCTCACCGGTCTGTGTTATTCGCCCAGTGATCGACAGGAATAAGTACCGGGCTCACTATACGAAACTTTTTTGGGCTGTACTGGCCGATACAGACAGCCAGCAAACAGTGCATACACTGCGATGCTTGCTGAACTAAGGAATGGTGATAAAAAGACTCGAGACACTTATGGCAAAAAAGTATAGGAAGCGAATGAGGCAGGAGACATAAAGGTATGCGATTCTATCAGCATTTTGCAATAAACAAGTCATGCACTACATGCAGCTCATAGATCGGTCCAAAGAACGCGTTACAGAGTCACCAATAGCAATCTCGCTGGAAGAGGGTGACCTTCGACCCGCTGCTTAACAAATTAATTTCGATCCAGTGCATACCATACTCACTACTCAGGCAGTGGAGCGAGCCGTCCGGTTCCTAACTTAGGCAGCATACGTTGCTGTTATTAAGAGAGCACGTCTCGGTTACATCACGTGTGCCATCAGGACGCAATGCAACGCTCTCATGCCGGCGTTTGAATCAATTATCGAAGTGTGATTTTCTGTCCTAGGACGGTTAGGTGGCTGGCTACATTGCATTCAAAAAATGAACATACGGTTTGGACTGATGTTATCTGTCTGCAAAACTTAATTTAACTGATAAACATATAGGTATCAAAGTTAAGCATCTCGCTGTTTTCTTGGCGATATCACTATAGGTATAGCTTCCGGAGCAATTTATGATTCCTGAAGTATTTCGGATCGAATGGGTACAACTCACCTAGTGTCAAATAAGGAACACCAGACACCTAGGAACACCAAAGAACACCATATACCCGACGTGGCAGCGGCTGCGTCAGCTTTTAACGGTCGGAAAGCCGTCAAAATCAATGTTATGCCAAACTCGCTCAATAGATGGCGCTGGTTTCGTTGCGCTCAGAGCGCCGATGCTAATCGCTATTCTGAGCACGATTCTGCCACTGGGGTTTCCAAACTTTGTGAAGAGGCGGGGGTAAGCATGTAGAACTAGGAAAGTGGTAAATATAGTACCTTTCTTGAATTTTTCTCACTACATTTTGCAAACAACGAGAAAAATTAGCAAAAGTGGTCTCGTTGACGGCGCGCCCAGTTCCTTTTCAAAAATTCGCAAAAAATATGTTTTAACCGTTTTATGGATCAGCCCGTAGGAAAATCGCTCTTCACATGGAAACTTTTTCCATCGACCCGCCCTAATAGGCATGTGCCTTCTTAGGTAGACCTTGGGTAGACCTCTTCCAAGCCGTTTCTTATGACATTTGTGAAGATTGCAAGTGTCTCTCAGATTTTTTCTTCTCTTGACTCTAGCCATTATGATAAAATTATCAGTGCCTGACTGCTCTAGCAGATAAACAGGATAAATCTAAAGAAAATGAAATAAAATGCTTTAATTACATAAATACCAAATATCCCAGAAGACACTGCTTGAAATGCTTGCTGTAATAACGTAAGTCAATTTTATCGCCTTGAAATGATTCACTTATCACGTGCAATATGTGCTTGACATTTGTTTGTGCTCTTTATTGGTGACAAATTATCTTTTCTTGTTTAATGTGCACAGGACTGTCAACACACCTTACGCAATTTGCAATGCGGCAACAATAAATGATGGCGATGACTTTGTTTATTCCGTTACCATGGAGACGATTTCGTGAGGCTTGACTTCAAACCTTAAACGTTTAAATAAATGTTTTGTAGTAAATGTTAGCGTTCTGTTACACATTTTAAAATAAAATTAACGTTAAATATTTAGCAAACTTTTATTTCTACGTCCGTGCTTAAAGGTTAGGATTGCCCTTGTCCTGCGCTGTAAATTCAGAAAACAATTTGCTTCTTTAGTCGACGAGGAACGCCGCAAAGACGCGAGTAGTTCGTCTATACTTATTATATGTCAATGGCCTAAATTAAACAAATTATCCGATCAAAGAACAAAACGAACGTACATAAGTACTATCTATAAGTCTAATGAAAAAGTTTAACGGCATTGCTAACGTCATTACCGCTCAATGTGTCATTCAAGACGCTCTATGAAAAGGACCCAACCAGTGCTGCGTAGTCGACGAAATTTCAGTGAATTTGACTCCAACTCCGATTCCGGTATCCAAATATCGACTCCGACTCCTCCGGCCAGAACTGTCGATTCAGACAGACTCCGACTCTGCAGCCCTGGTAAGTCCATGTGGAGTCGATGACTTTTCGGTCACGTTCGACTCTACTCCGACTACAGCTTTTAAAAATCAACCGACTCCGAGTCGGAACAGATCCGCTGGCTCTGACTACAACTCCGCAGCCCTGGCCCAACATAGCCGCCTAAAACAACTTTGATGTGTGATCTTCTTCGTATGCACTGTTAATGTTATTTTAAACAAGGCGTGGAAAAGGAAGATGAAGCCTACACAAACAAGGGTCTACTGTTGCGGATCAATCAACTGCTGGAACAGAAAAGCTGAAACACCACCCATCTCATTTCATCGTTTTCCTAACGACTCTACACCAATGAAAGTACTGATCAATGCGGTACGAGCATCGATGTGACATTTGTGTACCAAGTTTGAGTATTATCCGCCCAGCCGTTCTTGAGATATGGAAGCGGCACTTCGCATGTGCAGTAGCACCCCCATGGTGACACATGGAAATGCATTGGCCACTGGGTGCCTAACTATTGACGAAGTGTTACTGTAATGGGCCTAGCCATTGCGGGGTTATTTTATGTGGAACAATTTCGACACCCCTAAGTAAGGCGCGTGGCACGTGCCGTAACATTAACTAAGATGTAGAAAGTCGGGCGAAATTCGGAGAAGAAGGAATAAGCCTACCAAATATGCATGACATATTGTCAAACTGCTGTACCATTGCGAGTAAATGACCATATAAAAGGCCGTACAAGCCGATGGGACTGGGCGTTCAATACACACCGTCTCACGCATTTTATTTTCGTTATTACCTAAAGGCTGCTTGACGTTTTTGGCTTTCAAGCATTAAAGACATTTTTTGTCGTCTCAGGTCCAGTAAGATTACCTCCAACTCGTGGGAATCTGCACTTCAAGCCAACTAACACACCACACCCACGTGTGTCATAATGCTGAGCGATGGCGTTCACTCGGCTTGCTCCTTACTTACGATAATTTTCTCGCTAGATGGCAGGCCTGGGGCCGTATTCACGTCGATCATTTTCGTAAGAATTTTCTTAAGTTTGACCTACTTCTTAAGTAAATTTTTTAAATCACGTGAATTCCGTTGATAAAAACTTAAGAAGTGTCGATGTGAATACCAAATTATACTTACGAAAGAAAATCGACTTACGAAGTCGACGTGAATACGGCCCCTGATCCCAATGTCGCGGATCCCAATGTTAATTTCCACGAGACATCAATCCAGTGTTATATCATCCATGGTCTAACTCGGCCCCCGGTCATTGTCATTGGCAGCTTCCTCCTCACGTGACGTCACCAGAGCTTGAAGTTTTTCCTTCACTTATGTTGAGCTATGGGAAAATCCCTGATTTTAGCCATTTTTCTAGCCGCATTATCTCAGGAACTATGGAACTCAAATCAAAACTTCTAATGTCATTTCAAAGCTAAATGGATTACCTTATGCATCCCGGGTCAGTTTTACTGAAGAAAAGTAGAGAAGTATGCAAAATATGCCACCGAAAGAAGTTCTACATCCCATTGACTAGCGTTGCTGTGTTGCTATCATTTAAATGAATGTCTTGCAATAACGTTTTTGGTAACCGGTGATAATAACTGTTGATTTCCATGAAAAGTCGCGGTATTCATGTGCATCGAATTAGCAAACACTTGTGGTTCCAGGGCATAAAAGTTATATTTTGGCTGATGGTCGCTGGTGTTTCGTCGGATCACTTCGGTTGTAGAAGTGCATAACAATGCTGTACATAGATTCGATGCTGCTGATTTGCGGTTGCATAGCTGATCATCAATTAATTCTATTTTGATTGTATTTCCGATGCATGACATGCGAAAACAATCCCTTAAACGAAGACATCTATGACATCTGGCTTCCTCTATTACAATTCAAAACTGACTGAATGGGTGGAAGCAGCATTAGGCAAGAACACAGCCTTACAGATGAACATCAGTGATACGATGGAGTACATCTGGCTAGACAAACACCGGTCCGACTACCTCCAGACAGGACGGATCCTGATCTGTAACATTGTGCCGATCAGATGCGCCCCGCCGCTGTCGCCGGCAACCCAGGCAGCGGCACAGCGGCATAGGTCGATTCAATTTCAGATAGCACGATATGTGAAAGTGCACACATGCACAAACGGGAGGTTCGATGAATGTCACAGCAGCATAGCACTCCATTCTGTCCGACGGTACGCTATGTAACAATACGAAAACATATTCAGCATACCAGGGTACTTAAGTTGATTTCCATCTGAACAGTCGACTGGAAAATTCGGTGAATTCAAAGCCTACCTCAGGGTAGCTTGTGCGCTACATTATTTGAGCACGATATGGATGTAGACTGCATTTACATATCATCAGCTATATTAACTGCAACGCGTTTCACAGTACTTGTACTGCATCATCAGGCAAATCACGAATGGCACACATTTAAGCATTTTCAAGACACTTCAGCGAACACGTGAAACATATATGAACTCCGCCTCGAGCTGATTAAACAGGTCTAAGCAGGGCTGGGAGGGGATCGTGAGTCCGCCGGCCGCGCTGCGCAGTCGAGTCCAGAGCGTCTGAACTGGCGCGTCCTCAGATGCCATCGCCAGCGCGCCGAAGCTGGGGCCGCATTTTCTGGCGATGTAGCCGGCCAGATGCGCCATTGCACCTTCGGTGGCCGGCACACCAATCTCAGCGTCCAACGCCGCTGAGGGCGCAGGCGGTATATGCACTGTCTCGGCCTTTCGCAGTAGCTGCGCCCTCTCCTGCTCCGCCTCCTCCTCTGCGTCCGGGGCTGGCTCGTCAGGAACGGGCTCCAGGCTCTCCGTCCCCTCAGGAACTTCTTGGGGCGGCTCAGGGCATACCGCCTCCAGCACACCATCTGCGCCTGGTCGGCTTGGTCCTCGTCTGCCTCCGGCTCTGCCCCCGGCTCTGCCCCCGCCTCCGCCTCCGCCGCTGGTACCGGGAGCGCCGCGGGTGAGCGACTCTTAATCTGCACGCCGTGGGCCCGTGACGCGCAAGCTGGATCAGAGTGAACAGGCGGAGGCGCCCCTTCACCTCTGTCGTCGTGGGGTTGGGGCTTCCGCCGCCAGAGCCGCGGATGTGGCTGAACGAGCCCTAAAGCCGGTTCTGGGTGACGTGGCGGAGTAGCAGTTAGCAGTCCGGGCCAAAACGCTGCTGCACGTCAGCGAGCAGACCCCGCTCCACCTTCACTGTCACTACTAGACCCTTCTGGAACGGGAGGAGGTGACCAGCTGAGCCGAAGCGCAGTCCCTCCACCTCTTCCACCAGCTTAGAGAGGGCGTCCTCCTGCCCGGGAGTGCCGGAGCAGCCTCTCCGCAGTGTTTTGGCGTCCCTCGGATGGCCGCTGTTGAGGACGTCCATGCCGCTGTCAATGGTGAAGAGGAAGGCTGTCTCTTTCTCCTTTCCGGGCATGCACCGAGTACGTCTGTGCGGCCAGACCGCACGAAGCAGACAGCAGCTCGTAGGCGGGTCGGACTTTCTGTCGTGCCATTCCGGAGACCTGACAACAAATAGGGAAAAAATGTGTCGGAGTTTCTCGATGTTGTGGCCTTTCACGTTACGCTCACGCTTAAATTATTGTCTTTAAAGGATACGATGCGAGGCAATTAGGACGGCATAACATAATGCGTTTTTATGCGGCGCAGCATGACATGGCACACTCCATACAGGTAGAGGTTCAGCCGCAGAGCGTGTAGTTACAAAAAGAAACAAACAAAGAAATCCCATCCTTTATCCAGCAAAAACACTTAATTTATACTTTTTCTTGCAGAACAATATTGTCAATGGCGTGGACAAAGGGCATAATAAAAGGGTAGTAAGTATCATGAGCCTGTTGACGCTGCAGCACCCCTATAAAACAAATAATCGAGAACAACAGGCATCATGATACCCATCTTTCTTTCAGAAACTGTGCAATCACTGAGCAACTCTAAATTTAATAAGTAAAATGGTATTTGCTTATGTGTAACTGACAACTGTACATATTTTTATTCAAGTTGCATTGAATCAATTCTTCCAAAAAATGGTTTATGGACAAGAAAGCAACATGCATATTGGTCACCACTCACTAGCACAATTTTAATGCAGGTAAAATGTTTTGCCTAATGGTCTAGTCTTCCTGTGTACAAAGCATGCAAGATTTATTAGTCTTCCAAACAATCACAGCATTATTAAGGCAAAGCTAAGTCTGGAAAGGTAAATGTACATACTTACACATTGATTCTGGGACCTGGTGTTTGAAAGCTGGCATCTTGGCATCCATCGCCAGTCCACCTCTGGTGAGGCGAGACGCTCACCACCACAGGACCTTGGAGCGCAGAGCTGCTCTGGCTGCGCCACGCCCAGACTGAAAAAAAATACACATGCCAAATATGTTCGGAGTAATGGCAGAATTGCGTCAAAAATTTCAGCACAAGTCGCAGCCTGGCGTAATTTCGCATGCGCCAAATTCAGCGCATGGTGGCCGCTGAATTTTTCGGTGCACGGCTGCAGCAGAATTTTACTGGGAATGGTGGTCACCAAATTTTTCAGCACGCTGGTAAATCTAGCAGCAGACTCATCCTGCGAGCGGGTCTGAAGAGGGTCTGAACTTCCGGCCAGGGGCTTGTTTTATTGGGGCTTACATTTGCGTCTCTATGTTGTACTCTTAAAGGCAGGGAACCCCAAACAGGTGAGTTGAAAAGGTGAGTTCTTTGATGTTTCACAGCACGACCCCAGCTTTCAGCGCAAATGATGCAGAAATTTCAGCTCAAAATTGCTTGCATTGAATTTCAGCGGGTGGTTAATTTACATATCATACCTACTGCACCAAAACTCCACCACAATTCAAAGAAATAACTAGCTTTTACCATTACCACAAATCAACATTAGCACAGAGACTGATATGTTTACATTACATTTTTCCCATTACCAACAAGGTCAAGTTTACGTGAAAGTAGTAAATTGTTTCACTCAATCTTTGATGACGTTAATTCTTTTTTAAAGATATCCACAGCATTGACAACAACATGGAATATTTGGAAATAAAAAATAATAAATATATAAAGGTTAAAAAGTTAAAAAAAAATCATCACAAAACTGTGATAAAATAATAAATACGTCATATATTGTAAAAAGAATCATCATGCTAAAAGCATGCGCCAGAGATGCCTTTGCTGCGCATTATCCGTCACAAATCCTGGGCTGCCAAATGACCATACCCTGTAAGTCAATATACCCTGGTCTAACTTACGTCGGTCAGTGACCTGGGCCCAATCTTACCAATGCCGTAAATAGGATTTGGCAGCACTGGCCGGAGTTTACGGCACTGATATCAAAAATATCCTTTTTATTTACATCCAGCTGATCTTGTCCAATGATTTTGATAGCGTGAATGATTATGAATGTTGCCTGAATGAATGAATAGGGGAGAGTGGGGTAATTTGGCCGCTTTTTTTAGAAAACGATGTAACTAAAAATCGACAACACATTTCTGCATTTTTTCAACGCTGACAGGTGTGGCATACATTTTACTTTCTTGGACAGTAAACTTGAAATGATAGAGTAACTACCTACTTATATGGACATTGTGATGTATTACAAAGGTCTGCAAAGCGGCCAAATTGCCCCACTAGCAGGGTTATTTGGCCGGGGGTGTGGGGCAATTTGGCCGGTGTTAGCTTGAGGCCATGATTTTTGTTATAGGCGAGTCAGCTTCACATTCAGCAATGACGCGTGTCCTACGACGCATTTGAAGCATTTTGGAGGTTGACCCAGCCGTCACAGGGGTCGAAAAAAAGTCAAAATAGCGACTCTAGATGCGATGACAGTTTTTTACGAATAGATTTTGAAGTAATCAAGCTAGGGCAAAAATAAAAGTACCATCGTAATTCTCTCGTCATTCCGCATCGAAACATGTATGTGTTGACCTCGAGAGGTCAAGGTCAAAGGTTGGCTTCAGGTCAGGTTAACTCAGGTCGCTTGACCTCAAGGTTACGTGAGTTCAAGGTCATCATGTATATCATTCGATGCGCCTTGACGAGCTGAACACAATGAGACCATTTTTGCGGCTGTATCTTTTTTCTGTAAGTATTTATTAGCAAAAAAGCGTTAGGTAACCTTTGCTGACGTCACGTGCTCTTACAACTGTCCAATAGGAAATATGGCATCAAGGTAGTCAAAGTTGGTTATGAATTATGTCCTTTATCCCGCGCCCGGCTGGGGGTCCTGGATTTCCACGCCCTGCTGGGGGGGGGGGGGGTGTTTGAACACCCCCCTTCTAACTCGGCTCCTGGGCCACGTAGCGATACGCGGAAGGCGGTGTTCGAAAGAGCGTCAAAAATAATGAGGAAATCACTTCGTTCAATTTTTTGGTCAGGTCAAAGGTCAGGTCACCAGAGGTCATTGAAGGCAAAATTTCGCCGATTTCCAGGTCGAATGTCGACAATTTCCAAGAAGCCAACGCATAACTCGGGAACCAATAGAGCTACAGCGCCGCGGAAAAGCGCATTCGATAGCCCTATTAGCGCCCTTTCTGAGTAATTCTCTCAGATTTGACCTAACGTCAACGGTTTTGCCTGCAGGGGGCAAAAACTGCAAAAATAGCCGATTTTTTCGGAAACAGTTTTTCTGCAATAACTTTTGACCCAAGCCTTGTACGAGCTTACTTTTACGGGCATCGTGTTCCTCTCGTCAAGACGCATCGAATGAACAGTGTTTGGGATTGTTTATAATGTCTTTCGTCCGAAAGAGGCGCATTTCAATTTTCTCCCATTGACTTTTAATGGGGAGGTCGCAAAATTGACCTGACCTTAGGTCATCGATATCAAAATTCTGAGATACACTGTAAAAAAAGTTTAGCACCCATGTCAAAAACCAGCACCCTATACCTGCTTATTTTAAGCAGGCTAAATGGGTGATAAATTTTAGCACCCTTTTCGAAAAATAGCTCCCTGTGCCGGCTTATCTTAAGCACCCTAAATGGCTGCAACCATTTAGGGTGCTTAAAATAAGCCGGCACAGGGAGCTATTTTTCGAAAAGGGTGCTAAAATTTAGCACCCAGTTAGCGTGCTTAAAATAAGCAGGTACAGGGTGCTGGCTTTTGACATGGGTTTTTACAGTGTATACGTTTTGTACATGCTATTGCTCTTAGCAATCGCTGAAAGTTTCAAAGCGATCGGTCACTCGGTCTAGCTACGACAGACATTGAAACTTTTTATGAGGTGAGGCCACTTCAAGTGACCTGGTGACCTGACCTTGAATGACCTTGGTCTGAAATTTTCACAACATGTGTAGAATTGATGTATGATAAGGTATACCAAAAACGGCGGCGCTCCGCGCCGCCGTTTTTGAGATATTCGCGAAAAACCACAAGGGGGGGTGAACAAACACCCCCCCAGCAGGGCGCGGGTTATGGTATAATTGACCATGACAACTCGGCCGTCCCAGCATAGTGACTCTGAGCGCACCGGCCAAGTTGCCCCGCTAGTCCCGGCCAAATAACCCCACATTGCCATTCTGAAAATTTTTGTCTATAAAGTCGTCATGGCTGTGCAGAACTAAATGAAATTGCTCTTGGAACCGCTGAACACCCTCAAAAATGGCGCTATAATGTTGGAATTCGTTTACAGCCCAAATACTACATGTAAGGTATACAAATTTTTAAACGGAAGTAAAAGTTACCATTTTCTAACTAAATTCACCTTTTATTAATTTTGAATAAAACTAAGAGGGGGAAAGTTTTGACATTTGTTCTCGAGTCAGTTCTGCCGATGACAAATGAATAGAGACTAAAGTTATTTCTTTCACTTTTATCAGCTTTCGTACAGGTGGGGGCGGCCAATTTACACCACCGGCCAAATTACCCCACTCTCTCCCTAAGTGAATGTGGAATAGTTCCGAGTGCTACCAAATGCCGTGAATGCAGGGGCGTGGGAACTACTTTCAGACTGGGGGGCACACCATAATAGAGATCAACCTGGGGTACCCCCAAATCTAGTTTTCTCACCGGTTTTAGGCCATTTATTTTTCATCCCTTGGCTTTTTCAACAAAGAAAGAAAACATTTGCAAAAAAGTGCGATTTTCCGTCTCAAAGTTGTGGGGGCACCGCCCCCACGGCCCCAGAGTTGGGGGGGGCAGGCTGCCCCCACTGCCCCCCCCCCCCCGGTTCCCGCGCCTATGCGTGAATGTGCAATGTGCATTCACGGCATTTGGTAAGATTGGGCCCTGGTCTGGCCTGAAAATAGGGCTTTGTGTCATAAGATCTGACCTAATCAAAGGTCGGCAGTGCCAACTTTTATCTCGCTATCGGCAGCGCGTTAAAAAAATCTAGATAAAGACCATCGCCCCTCCCCCCCCCCCCGGAACGGCACCCGTCCCTTCTCTCGGCAGAGCGTCCTTTCCCTTTTTGTAAGTCCTAACATAATCACGAATATTATATCACAGGTTGTGAAGGCAATGTGAAGGCAGTTTCCGCTATACGCACTATCCACCATCCCGTTCTGTGCTCGCCTTCCGCTCCACGCACATCAGCCGAGCTACAAGTCAGTCGGGCTAGCGCTATCCTCCCCTCCCTTCCTGGCTTCACAGCGCTAAGACCCAGAGCTGAGACTTCCCGAGCGCGACCTCTGACCCCACGCGGTCCGAAGGGTCAGCCGGTGCCTGAGGGCGCTCCGCGCGCCGGCCACCCGGATAGCCTCTGCTGAGTCTCCCTTTCATGCTCCGTTTACTACGCGCTCGATTCATTCATGATTCTGTGTTTCCTCGTCCCTCTCGCTAGGTGACACCACGGATGTCATAGGCGATCCCAGGAAGACTGCGGCCAGAATGCCCCAAACGGCAGAAAATGAGGTTTTTGCTAAATATCTCAGAAAGTATTTGTCTTACGACGATGAAATTTCACAGTGTCGTGGCAAATGTGCATACGCACAAATCGGGTTAATACTTATGCATTTGCACTTGATATAAGACCAGATATAGCCTAAAAAGCAAAACCAACCACTGTTTTACTGGAGAGCCGTACATTACACTTCACACCTAGTCGGGACGCACACTCAGTTGCACTGTCCACTCTCGCACTGATTCGCACGTTCCAAGGTTCCCGCTCACTTGCAATCCTTTCAAACTTTCAGCTCCACTCCCACACAATCGCTGGGAACGAGGCAGGCCGAGGAGAGACGGGGGAGGAGCGAGCAGCGCTCGCGACCGCTCACGGCGGCGCGCTCAGCTCAACTGCCAACCGTAAACAATGTAGCAGACAGTTGGCGCGGGCGCCACGTGGCTACTAAATTATTCAGAGCAGCGCGTCATGCCACTCTAAAGGGTGAGTGCCACCCTATGTCACATTTAACCAATACAGAGTCGAGGCAACTTGGTCCGTGGCCGACTCCGACTCCGACTCTTGGCTGTTTGCCACGACTCCGGGCGACTCGGACTCCGACTCCGAGATCCTGGCTGTAACTGCAGGGCGCCTCCTGGCTGTAACTGCAGGGCGCCGAGGCTGGCTGCCGGCTTCTGTTTGTCCAGGTCCTGCTGGACGATAGCCCAAAGTTCCCCGGATCAGGATTAGGTCTGAATGCTAGCCGACTAATGCGTGGTTCACACCGGATCCGTAATGACGCCGTAACCGTTACGGCCGTAATGAGCTAGAGATTTCTCAAGATTCCCCAAGCATTGCGACTTTTCTAGATGAAGTTGAAATGTGGCAACCAGCCGCCGTAAACTGGCAGCGTCCACCGTACTCGTTACGGAACAGGAGTTGGGAAAATTGAACTTTTCGGCCCGACCGACCGCCGTAATGAT